TTTTGGCATTCTGTTGTTAATGGGATAGAAGAAAATTTGCAAGTCAGTATATTGTAAAATACAAGGAATCTCACTTTCCTGAAAAGTCTTTGTTTTGTCTTTTTGTGCAGTTGTTTAAGTTAAAGATAAAAATAAGTATTGCATGCTGTTTCTCTCAGATCAAGGTGTGCAAATTACTAGAAAAAGTACCTGTTAAAGGAATGCTTATAAATAAACACATTCACATGCAATAACAGGAAATACACTATCAATGGATTCTTGAATTGATTCAGCTTGTAAATATTTACCTGGAAATTTATCCTTTTTTTGTACATAGAAATCTTTCATACTGTACATTATCTAAAAGTAGATATACCTGTAAATCATGCCCATTCATTTGCTGCACTGGAATTGGATTATTCTTCAGTAAAACTCGGTTTGAGGCTTTGGAAAAATCAATCAGGTATCATTATTTTTCCGTAAGATACTAAATTGTGTTTTGGTGACCTCTGCTATTATTTAAATGACCCGCGTAGGGATGAGCTTTCATAGCACAGAATTAGACTAAGTTTGCTTCCCTTGTTCTCTTGTTGCTCTCCTTAGATCTTAGAAATTCATTTCTCTCTTTTTCACTCAGCTATTTATTCTTTTGCTTATTTACAGTCTATATTGCTTGAGATGGCTTTGCTGGCTTCCTTGGTTTCAAGAACTGGTGAAAATGTAACTTTATTTTTAACCCTACACCCTTCTCCCCAGAATAGATCACTTTTATAATAAATCTGTTTCCAGAACTTTCTGGTTCCATTCAGACTTAAAATGTACCTAGCTCTTTGGTGCTCTTAATTTTCTAATTACAGAATTCTGTATACTTTTTGCTTTAAATTTGTGGAGTTGTTTTTGTCTTGTTATATATTCCTCTCCTTAAAGATAGAAGACAGACAAGTAGATAGGTAGATATCTTAGCAAAGGACACTCTAAAGTTTATTTAGAAATTCTCCAAGCCACATACTAATGCATCTCTAATGGGAACATTTCCTTCCACACCTCTAAGGTGATTGAGCCTGTCCTTTAAAGTGAAATTTGCAAACCAGTGTCTGGCAGTTCCAATTAGCTTCTTTTGGGTTTGAAGCACATCACAAACAGTAACAAACAGTAACAAGGTCTCCTAGGACACTCCTCTTGCAAGCAATGTAGTCATATTTCCTCATTAGTTCTTCTCAATTGTCACTAATATGAGTTCCAGCTTTTGAGTAGGAGACAAATACCATAAAAATTTGGTATGTATATAGAATGGGCCATTGTTTTCCAGAATTTAAGGTTCTTTTGAATTCCTTTGGTAGTTTTGAAGCTTACACAGCTTAATTCATTAACCTTTCCCCTTCACATAAATCAGATGATTAGGAATCTATTGCTAAGGAGACAGATTTTCCCTCCACTGAAACTAACTCATGCCTTCTCCTCTTTAAAACAAAACACAACTAGAGAGCTTACAAATATAACCTTTTTGTAACTTTTCAAATTTCATCAGCTGTTTTAGAGCTGCATTTTAGAGCATATCAAAAACAAGTAAAACATTATTGTAAAACATTATTGTAAAAAATTATCCTGAATGCTTTTGGTATTTTCAAGCAAGTTTTCTGATCCTTTTCTGTTTTCTGAAGGTGTATATGTTAACATACTCAAAAGTCATCGCTTAAGTATTTACAGTAGCTGCAGTTTTTTAAATTCTCTTCAAAACATAAAAACCATTTTTTTTAAAGTTCTCTGCCAAAACATAAAAGCAAGAAAATAATTGGAGGGGAGGCAGTTCAAACAAAACTAAAATATATTTAAATGAATGAAAGATATTTAGTTTGGAGAAATTTTTCATATATCCTTTATTATTATAAAAATTGATGATATGGCACCCCAAGGAAGGTACTGGTGGTGGTTCTGTGGTTCCAGGGATGTGAGATTAGAATGTAGGTCTGAGATTCTTTATTTACTCTTATTAAACTATATTTCCTTTCATTTTTCAGAACTCAGGAAGGTGATTTAGTAGATTTGTATTTGATGCTCCTGGACTACTTTAACCATATTTGATATTCTGCATTTTTTCCACTATGTCCTTTCTTTGTATGACCTCCTTAATAATCATATAGATTGTTCCTGTCCCTCAGAATACAGTTCTTTTCCCAAGTTCTATAATTCTTTATGTTGTCATGCATAAAATAGAAATAGTTTGAACATATTGACCCCATAGAGAATACTAGTATTATGATGATGGAGACAGGGGTGTGGAAAGAATGGAAAAGATTTGAATTCTGGATTCTGAGTTTAAGAACACATGGCTTGGGTTCTCCCTGGTGGTGCAACAGGTTAAAGCACCACATTATGAAGCTCTACAAAGCCACTGCAGCACAAGTTCAATCCCCGGCCAGGGAGCTGACCCACATGGCGTGGCAGACCTCTCCTATCTCGCTTGCTGCTCCCCTCAGCAGTATATTTCAGTAGATCTGCCTGTTCTTCTCCCCACTCTGTCTCTGGTGAATCCTCTCGCCCACCACAACTCTGGCCTGTACCCCAGCTCTGTAAGCACAAAAGAAATCTTTTAAAAATAATCATAGTAATAAAAAAGAACACATGGCTTGTCCCCACAAATAAAAACATGAATTTATCAATTAAATTAATGAATATTTTACTATGCTATATGTGTGATTAGGAGAGGAGATGGGAAAGCCAAGGTTTTAAATGCAGACTTTGTTTCTGTTCTCACTTAAGCTTACCACTTTGCAAATATTTCTTTTTTTAAATATGTCTTTAAGAACTTACATAAGCAGCTGTATTTGAAAAACTTAAATAATTAACAGACTTTACATCCTGCTTGTTGCCTTACATACATACTATACAGTGACTTGGGGAAGTCTTGCACGTCAAAACACACATAACACATGAAAACCACTCTTTTTAAACAGAGTAGAATTATTTAGCATAATTGTGGTGGACAGTCTTGTATTATCTTGGATAAATATATTCTGGGATGGATTCTAACTATTCTAGAGGAAAGGACAGTTTGCCCAGGGTCTCCTTATGACCTGCGCCAAAGTCTGCCTCTCAAACTCCATAGACAGGGCTATAAGCACTGAAGGGGCGGGTTGGGGGTGGTCTTTCTTGGGCTTGCATTTCTACCATTTTGCAATAACAAAGTAACGAAGTAATGTTACTTCAAGTGGCAGAAACACAAATAAGATACTAAATTCTTTTTTTTTTTTCATAAATATAAAACTTTGATTTTATATTTCAAGAAATGTTGGTATATTGAACTATTTGAGCAGAACTTGAGGACAAAATATAATTAATAATATGAACATAATTTCTGACTATTTTTTTTTTCATTTTGTGTTGGTCCTGAAAAATAATGTTTAACTACCTTGTGTGGTAGGTAGTGAAGGAACATAGAGCAACAATTTATTTTGATATTATAAAAGAAGTCAATTTTTTTAACTAATAAAATTTTGTAATCATCCAGCGCCTCTGATTTATCCTTAGCAAATGAAAATTAGTTTCTAAGCTATATATAGTTTTTATTTGATGCTTATAGTGTTTCCTTTTAGCCTCCCTTTTTTCTAAGTTTATTCAAATATTGCATTAAAGCCAAATGACACAGAACAGAGTTAGGTTTTTCAATTTCCCTTCATAATAAACTGTCATATTAGCAATCATAATTACATTGTATAACTGTTTAAGTTTTCTCTTGTGACCATGAAAAAACCAATCCATTTTTATCATACATCTTTTTTTCAAAATCACCCAACCTAAATATTTATTCATTTTTTAGGACCCTTGAAATGCACATCATTCTATTAAAGCGATATTCTACAAAAATATTTTTTGAAAGAAGAATGCCTTCTCTGTAACTAATTTAACCTTCAGTAATGAATTATGTGAAATAAAATTGTATGAAATTTCCAGACATTTCGTGAAGATACCTCCCAGTAAACCAGACAGCAAATAAAATATCTGAAAGACAAAGATAGATACTCAGTAATTTTTGATGGATTATACACATAGGTATCAAATTACTTGATCCTTACTTCCTAGAAAAGGTTAATGACTCTTTTTGCTTTTACCCTTTTACTTAACTGTTATTTATAAAGATTAAAACAGGGACTGCCCTGAAAGATGCATATGCCTGTGTCATTAAGACTACATATTTTTCTGATATGATAGGAAACTGAGCCACAAAATGATAGTGTTGTTAGTCATTATTTTGAAAGTATATTCAGTTCTGGAATACAGTTTCTGCTATAGCTATAATATTGCACCATTCCCAACTTTTACCTTAAACCCGAAAGGTCTTTAAATCTTAGGATTCTGTAGCTATATCACTAAAATGACCTATATCTATGTTCTGCAACAATTCATATAAAATATTAAGAATAAAACATTTCTGGTTAAAATATTTTAAAGTTCTTACATGTATATAATGTGTATAATTTTCTTTCTTCTTTATAAAATCTATGAATAAAATCTATTTCTGTTCTATGTTGAATAAAATGTCATCAAAAAATGTAAATTTCATTGTTCTCAAACTCCATCATTAATAGTTGAACCATGAATAATAATTTTACTATGCACTTATAATGATCATCTCTCTTTATCCTACAGTTGCATTATAATTATTTTCATATTACATTATTGTATATATCTTATATGTTCCTCATATAGTATATACCTACTAATCTTATTATTAAATATAGCATTACTCTTAGAGGAATAGCTCTTTTTTCATCTCTTTGGTTTTGAGACATATACCAGTCATAAATACATTTCATTAAAGTCATTTAGGCATTAGAACACTTGAGTTTAAAGCGGGAAATACAATACCTTTTTCTGGAGCACCTTGAAAGAGGTTTGTTGAAAGAAGTGAGCTGTAGCTTTCATCAAATGCTGACCTGCTCCTGTTATATTCGCAGCCAAACTCTTACTAATTTTACTTGAAATGCATTAGTATAACTCACTGCTTTTTGTGTGTGTTTCAGGTGTGTGGAGGTCATTGCAAAGGAAGGACAAAACCTGAAAGAGCTCTATTTGGTATCCTGTAAAATCACAGATTATGGTATGTAATAAGCCATTGTCCTGTTCCTTTTTAAGAATAAAAAGTTTCTAAATCTCTGAAAGCTTTTTGCAAAAAATCAGGGATAGTAACTTGTGCAGACTACTTATCTCTATTTGTACTAACTCTGACCATACCAAGAAAATGAGGAAGTTGTGTTAAGAACCAGAATAAAATGAATGTGCATATCAATTTATTGTTACATATATCTCTCTCACACACACATGTGCACATCTACAGAAAACTAAAAGTATGACTTTAAAAGATTTATACTTGAAAATATCAGGGTAATTATAAAAACACAGCTATAAAAATTTTTACAGTAAGTCAGTATATTCCTGTTGATATTCCAAATACCATACTTTCATATATGTTGAAAGTATAAGATATACATTTGTATAAAGGTTTTAAATTTTCTTGATTTTTGCTATATTAAAAGGCAGGGAGGGGGGAAACAAGATGTTTCCTAAAATTATGGAAAGTATAAAATCATGTTTTGGACTAATAAAAATAACTTAGCCTATCTTTTTTGTTCAACTTAATATATTTTTATCACTGTGCACTTAATATAGAACTACAACCAAACATCTAACTTTATAGGAGACTGAAATGATATCCTTTTTTGCTTATCTGATTTTTTAAATTTGTTCATTTCTGTTTGAGAATATGCTTTCAATTTTAAGAAAACTAAAACCCTATTTAGTTTGTTTTCCTTTTGTTGTTGATTGATATGTGCTAGTAAATGACTCTAATACTAAGGTGACACACTGATTTCTACCCTTGTTAGAAGAGTTGTATTTTATCAGTTACTGAAACATTGGAAACAACTCTATGAAAACTATAATAATAATTTAAAAAAGCATAAAAAAGATTCAGCTTAAAAAATAGTTCTAATTGCATTTTCAACTTTCTTTTTTGAGAATAACAAATGAATATTGCATGGATATATCCATAGTGTTGCTGGGTTGTTGGATTTTTCCTAATTACTACTGTGCAAGGAAAATGTTTTGGTATGTTTTTGTTTCATTGTTTGTTTTCTGGCTTGGCAAATTAGATTGCCACTTAGATGCAGTAACTAAAACCTCCACTATCTCCCAGTTTTCCATACCTTAAAGCTTTCTCTTTGCCTGACACAGATTTATTCGTTAGTTATCAGTACTTTCATGCATTCCAAAATTTTTGGCATTCAGAGTCCTTTACCATGAGTCCCTTACCAGCTCCTCCAGCCTTATTTTATATTTCTCCACTTTATCTCTTCGCTGTCAGTGAGAAATTGCTAATAACTAGGAGCTATGGATTACGTTTCTGACAATGAACTCTTCAAGGTCCTGCATAGTGGGAAATGATGCTGAAATTACACTCTGTTTCAGCACCTAACCTCTTAGCTGGTGCAAAGAAATGTTTCAAAAGATACGAAGAAAAGTAAAACGCTTTGGATTTGACAGATGTGAGATCAAATTTTGTCTTTGTTCTTTGGTCTTAGGGAAGTTCCTCCTATCTCTGTGGCTGTTTCCTTATTTGTAATATGGGTTTTAATGTCTGACTTCATGCGGCCTGGTACCTAGTATCCAAGCTAATGATTAACACACATATATTGCTGATAAACATTTTTCTTACAAAAAAGGAACAAAAAGAGGATTGACAGAAATTATTTGGTCTTAGCAGAGGACTTTGGTGTTATTGTTATGATTGTTTATTTTCATGTTTATTTGCTGTTTACTTATATTCTCATGTTCTTGTGTTATAAGATTTTAGGATTTTTTTTTCTTGATAAGGTGAGAACTGTATCAATATTTTATATTTGTTTGAATCTTTCAGTTATTTAGGTAAGAGGTTCTCAGCCCTTTCCACATGAAGTTCTTCTGGGAAATGTCTAAATTATACAATGCTTATGATTAATTCAATCAGAATTCTTTTTAAAAGATTTATTTATTTATTCATACAGAACTGGGGTACAGGCCAGAGATGCGGAGGGTGAGAGGATTCACCAGGGACAGAGTGGGGCGCAGAACAGGCAGATCGACGAAGTACATTGCTGAGGAGAGCAGCGGGTGGGTCAGGAGAGGTCTGCCATGCCATGTGGTCACCTCCGGGGCAGGTGGGAATCAAACTCATGCAGAAGTGGCTTAAGCTTCTTAGTGCAGTGCTCCAACCCGCCGTGCCACCAGGGAGGACCCTCAATCGGGGGGGACCCAGGCAGTGATTTTGTAAAACCTGTCTAAGTGATGTTATCATAAGCCAAAGTTGAGAATAACTGATCTAGTCCATTTGAGAGGAACCAGAAGGAATATTTTGGGAACTCCCTCAATGGCGAGAACTCTATCATGACTTTTCCCATACCTCAGCTCTTGGAAGCTCTCATGTCTACCCCATCTCTTTTCTTCCTTCTTGCCTGACGGTTTAGATATTTAGTGGTTCATGGTGAAAGTCTATGTGCATCTGCGGATTCTTTTCTAAATGTTGAGGCACAGATGAGGATTAGAAGAATGGTGGATATTTTATGAGTTGTAATATAATTACTATTTGATCATAAAATAAAACAAATTTGCTGAAAGCTCAGCTCAGCTCATCACGTTTTCTCTGGTACCATGTCAATAAAACAGGTAATTTTTAATTTTTATCAAAAACTCAGCAAAAAGGGTTATTCATCATAACCAGAGAAACTGCATGTTATTGGAGGTAATTTCTCAGCTAGAGAAGGCTGTCTGTATTTCCTTGTCCCATGTTAATTACACACTTTAAGAAGGAAAAATAGATGCATTGTCTCCCCCCCCTTTTAACTAGATAAGTAGCGACCTATTTTGTAGAAAATTTTGATTATTAAAGCTACCTAGAAATTTGATGTATAACTGTTAGGGGATTTTACCCTTCAGGTGACTACCGCACAATTCTGCTTTCTATTGCTTTACTCATATTCAAGCCTGTCATTCCTCTACTCACCTCATTCTGTGGTACCATATTTATACATGCTTTCACTATAGTGTATTAAGATTTTTGAAGCTTTTTGCAGATGCATCAATTCAGAAACAGCAACCACCTAGCTTATCTTTTGTAATTTTTGTCAAGATTCTCACAGATATTGAATGTGGTGTGGAGTACTTAGCAATACCTGTCTGGTCTGTTTTGAAATTATGTTCATTTTAATTGATATATGATATAGTTGTCATGAAGAAAACTATTCTTATAGGCTTCTATTCCCACACTGAGCATATATCTTTATGGTAAAGGATAGCAATTATAAGCAAATCAATAATTCAGGCACAGCTAAATGAAAAATACAGTCTTGGGAAATTGCTCCCTGAAGAGAAATCTAATATTGTTACTCTTTTATCACTGAACAAATATATGTTATAGGTAGGATTGTTGGGGAAATTCAAACATAGGAATCAGTGTTAGATTTAAATTCAAGCTATGTCTCTTGTTTCTTTGTGACCTTCAGCAAGTTATTACCCTTCCAGTTTTGTCATTTATTGTGCACCTAACATGTATTACCCAAAGGTAGTGAAAATGGAAATATGTGTTGTTCTGGTGAATGAGTGAATACTCATTAACTCACAGCTCTTATAATTATAGAATCTCTCTATAACTGAAAAAGGATCAGTTCTGGTTGCCTTCTCCAAGTGTGACTTTTCTATTCGTGGAAATTGATGTTTAGAGGTTATATTAATTTATACCTGCCTAGTTGACTTCCATACCTAACAAACTAAATCAGAATCATCTCATTAATGTAACCAGAGCCCCGCGGCCTGCAGAAGCCGTGAGCAAGGAAGCTTTGTTGGAGTTGAAGCTCACTGGCCTCAAGTCTGTCACTGTGGATGATTTCTTCTTCCGGAGCCCCAGACAGACCAGCTCTGGGCATGGTTGCCTGGAATCAATAGGCCCACAAGCCTTCCTTGATCCGTGTATAGGCTCAACTGGGCTTTACCTGCTTTTAGTTCTGGTGCTAGTGGACTTCTCAGGCACAAGCTAAGTAAACCAATCAGGTATGAGTTAAATTGACCAATCAGGTTCAATCTCACTTCATTAGTTACTTTTACAGATTAAAAATTGAAAACAAACTGATTGGTGCTAAATGATCCAGTCAGATGCTTAGGATTGAAAAGTATCTAATCAAGCTTGTGGAGTCAGAGAGTAAAATACAGCTTCTGTCACTCTGCACCACTCTCTGAGGAAAGAAGAGGGCTTCTGTTCCCTTTCTTACAGCCTGCCTCTGAAGAGAGCAGAATTCCTTGTACCACCTTTGCAGGACAAGTCAAAAGCCAACCTTCCAATAGGGATTTTGCTTCTAGCTTCTGAAGAAAGAAAAACATTCTGCTCCTGGCTTTTGAAGAGAGAAGGATTCTGCTCCTGGATTTTTGAAGAAAGGACTCTGTTCCCAACCTCTGATGAGAGACAAGCTAGAAGCTCCTTGTGGGAATCCATGGGCCTCTGTATACCTGTACGGAGATTTGGTGTCTGCACCTAGCTCTGGCCTTGCTTCTGACATTGCCTTGAAGGAGCCCCTTGAGGCTCTGCTTAGCATCTCAAAGGGCTGGACGCAGCCTCGCTCTCACTGCTGTGTCTGGGTGCTGTTGCGTGTTGCTGCTGGGTCTAGCATCCAGCCTAGCCTTCATGCTGTGATTCTGTATGCTGCTGCCTTGTCACCTTCCTTCTACAAGCGGCCTGTTTTGGCATTTCTGGACACTGCAGACACTATCTGGAGACAACCAATGACTTGTGGTCTCAAAGATAATTGTTTTTCCCCAATTTCCTATTTATTACATAACCCCTGTTGCTGTTGGACAAAGCCTGAGTGGTGAAGCAATTGTGAATACAGGTGACAACCCACTGACAGTGACCTGTCCCCCACCTTCGACACTGTTTTGGCACTGTTTACACTCTGTTGTAAGTGTCTTTTAGCTCCTGTTTTGTGTTTTTTGTTGTTGTTGTTGGTCTCTGTCAGTACTGTCTCAGTATGAGAAAGAAAAAAAAAGATTTAGCAAAAAGCTTAAAGCTTTTATTTG